TCAATATCAATTGAATTAGTATCGGTATTGATGTGGACGTATCGATACCAAGAGGAAGGTATCGATACTGTAATTAAAAAGGGAATTCGAGAATGCTAAAATGGTATTGGTACTGAAGGGGGTATCGATACCATGGAAGAGAAGTATCGGTACTGTGAGTAGAGTATTGATACTATTCAGTCAGAAATGTTAATTAAGTGTTTCAATTAACTTAAATAAAAGTTAATGGGTTAGATGTTAATTGAGTTATGGTATTCATATGGGTCATGTTATGTGTAGATTTGAGTGAAAGCAAGTGTAGAACGAAGGGACGTACCAAGATAAAGTGAAAGAGAGAATGAGTGTTTAAGGCTTAAGTGAGGCAAAGGTGAGTGCTATTTACTTAATTTATTTATGATTGGAGGACGGCTTGCGATGAGCCAACCTCAAATGTTTTTGAACAAAATGAAATGCTATGAGTATATCTGAGGGTTTTCTCTGTGAATATGTTCTACATAAGTTAATGGATAAGTTGAATAATGATATGTAACATGAAATAATTATGTGAATCACTATGAAGATATGTTATATGTGATTAAATGAAAATTTTGAATAATGTTATGTGAAATGAAATACTATTAGTACTTGTTTGAATGTGAATAAATAATAAAATCTAATAATGCTATGTGACAATGTTCTACGTGAACTGTTATGCAAATATGTGTTAAGTGGATATGTTCTATGGAACATAAATGATAAGTGAAAAATGTTAAAAGGAATGCCATGAGTAAATCCGTTATGCGAATAAAAGATACTTGAATAATAAATGTGATAGTATTCTATGTGGATAAAAGACATTGAAATAAAGTGTTGAAAGATTAATTATAAAACTAAAGCCCAAAGTATATTTTATGAGAATTAGGGGTATAGTTGGCATGCCAAGAGTCTAGGGTTCTATGTGGTCCTTCGGGACAAATCTATGTGTCGGGACAAATCTATGTGGTCATTCGGGACAAACCTATGTGGTCCTTTGGGACAAATATATGGCATTTCGGTGCAAATTATGTGAGCAATGGTGACTGCATTAGTGCACAACCTCAATGTACTTGCATACATTGAGTTCTCAGCGATATACGTTGGGCTAATAAAACAAACTTGATATAACTTGAACAATGAGTAACAATATAAAATGTTAATGAAATGCCTATTGGTTTTATATGAAATGTTTCTAGGAATTGTATAAGCAAGTGTCAAAGGTATATAAATTAATCAATGAGTAATAGTGTATGTTATAAATTATGAATAATATGTTGTTATAGTAGTTCATGATTCTTTATAAATATTTACATAATTGTTTTATTATGTTATTACACTCAGTATTACCTCACTAAGTCATAGACTTAGCGTGTGAGTGTTTTCACACGTAGGTTCAAAGTTATTCGAGGAGTAAACCGAGTAAGCAGGGGGCAGGACAACATACCTCTGAAGATTATCAAATCAGAGAAAATTGAAATGTATGTGATTGTGTTCTGGAATGTTGTTGGCATGTACATAAATGTAAAGTATAGATGCTCTGATACGTATTTTAACTATGATTTATTAAGTTTTGTTTTCCTTGTCATGTTTTAAATCACATTTTAAAAAGAGTTAAAGAGTTTCAAAATTCAATGTGATATCTCACATTCGTATTCGGGTCGAATATGGGTCGAGGTGTTACAAATTAAGCCACTAGTCGTTAACGATTAACGAAAATGATAACGTGACAATTAGTAAAATTGGTATAATTACACATTTTTTTCATTTTTACTTATATATTCTATATATTTGGTCCTAATTTTAATAAATTAAAATAAATTTAATATTTGAATCATATCATGCCACATGTCACTAGTACCAAATATCATAACATGTGTCACTACTTGATTTGAGGATTTAATTTATTTTAATTTAATAATTTTATTTCTCACCAATCAAAGGATAACACATGCCATCCTCTGGTGGAAAGAAAATTAAAATTGTTGAATTAAGGTAGAGTGAGAATCAAACCTTAGTCATGGGGTTGAAAGATCAACCTTCCAACCATTGAACCAAGCTGATTATTTGGAATATGATAGACTGATATATATTTTGTATATTAGTCTAAACTTAAATTCTTAAGTATATCTTATTTTTATTTTAACTTATTATATATATTATATTCTTAACTTAAATTATTAAATATATTATGGTCTTACCTTAAATTATTAAATATAATTTATCCTTGTTTTAACATAAAATATATATTTTATTCTAATTTTAACATAAAATTGTATATTTTAAGTTAATAAAAAATAAAATAAATTTTTTAAATTTAAAATAAGAATAAAATATATTTTTAAGTTAAGATAAAAATAAAATATTATATTTTTAATGCTAAGTTGTTAATTTAATTTAATATGTGAATTTAAGTACAAATATATAAAATAATAAGAATTTAATTTTAGCCTAGTATTTAATATATATAACATATATAGTGCATTTTAAATCAAAAAGTTTGCTTGGTTCAGTGGTTAAACTATTGCTTTACCTCCCGATAGACCTAGGTTTGTTCCTCTTGCTTCCTTATTTCATTTTCTTTCCTCTCGAGGGTAACAAGTGTCATCCTTTGATTGGTGCAAAATAAAATTATTAAATTAAAATAAATTAAATGAATGGTGACGTGGGCATGATCTTATTCAAATATTAAATTTATTTTAATTTATTAAATTAAGATTAAATTAATAAAATATCTAAGTAATAGTGACCAAATATATAATTATACCAATTTTATTAACTATCATCCTCTAGATTGATGCAAAATAAATAAAATCTCTAATCAAATAGTGACACGTGACATGATCTGATTCAAAAATTAAATTTATTTTAATTTATTAAAAGAATGTAAATAGTCTCTTTTATTTTCGGTATAACTAACTTTAGTTACCAATTTAAAAATTAAAGGTAAATAATCTTTTATGTTATTGATCGGTCCGATTTAAATTTTATGTCGTTAACTTCCGATAACCTTTTAACAAAAATCTCCAGTCACACTTAAAAAATAAAAATAAAAAACCACCTCCTCCTCCTCCTCGGATGATGGACAAATGGAAAGGTCCAGTGCAATCACCGACAAGGTACAAGTTAATGCCTTTTGCCAATAAAGAGACGTATGAATGCCACATCATCACATGGCCTTTCTGTCCTATCTGCATTTCATATAAGTGATTTCGATCTTCACATTAATCAACAGATTCAGCAGCGAGAAAATCAGTACCATCACCAGAATTCAGAAGATGAACTACAACAAAGTGGAAGCAGCGGTAGCCTTAAGAAACGGGATCGAGAAGATATCAACAACAATAACGGTAATGAAGGCAAAGAGCTTAGTCTTCATGGCTATGGTGGTGACGGCGGCGAAGGAGAGATGAATCGAAAACAACGAGGTAGGCCTGATGGATCCAAGAACAAGCCTAAACCACCCATCATCATCACCCGTAACACTGCCAACGCTTTACGCACTCATGTCATGGAAATAGGGGACGGTTGCGACATCGTCCAGAGCGTCGCGATGTTCGCCATGAGACGCCAGAGAGGGATATGCATAATGAGTGGAACTGGGACCATCACGAATGTAACCCTCAGACAACCAACCTCGGCCGGTACTACGGTTGTCAACTTACACTGCAGATTGGAGATACTATCATTGGTGGGATCATTCTTGCCTCCACCCGCACCGTCGGCTGCGACGGGGATGATAGTATATTTGGTTGGTGGACAAGGCTAAGTGGTGGGTGGCAGTGTTGTTGGGGTACCCATCAGTTCAGGTCCGGTTGTGACCATGGCGGTTTCTTTTAGTAACGCCGCCTACGAGCGGTTTCCATTGGGAGGAGAAGGAGGAGAAGACGAAGGGCAGTTTCCAATAGGATCACAGCAGCAACAACAAGAAGTATTGGCGGAGTCAAATGCAAATGCGCCTCTTTTTAATGGATTACCACCTAATATTCTCAACTCTATTCAATTACCAAGTGAAGCCTTTTGGGCTACTGATCGCCCTCCATTCTAGCTAACAGTTTGCAACACTCAAATGATAAGATTGCTGGTTAATTCCTTCTCAACTTCAGCTATAACAATCAGGTGCACAACCTTAATTGTAGCTACGAAATCTGGGTTGGTTTAGCAACGTTTCAGGTTTTGTTTGCTGAATTGAGCATGTTGATTGAATGACACTGGACATGATAATGGAACTATGATGATGATGATACACGTGGGTTTGGATTTTATCTATTTTTTAATTGTCACCTCAGATTTTAAGGGGTTAATGGAAGTTAACAGTTGAGGGACTTAAACCGGACGAATCGATAACGTTAGTGACTTAAATCGGACGGATCAATAACGTTGGTGACTATTTATCGTTACTTTTTAGATTGGTAACCAAAGTCGGACATATCGAAAACAAAAGAGACTTTTGGCATAGTTTATATTAAGACTAAATTAATAAAATATATAAGTAACAATGATCAAATGTGTAATTATATCACTTTTATTAATTGTCCCGTCATCACTTTCGTTAAATGTTAAGGTAAAGTAAAATGATTAAACACCTTTAAATAGATGAGTGATCTGATTAACAAAAGTTCAAATATGGTGATTAAAATAAGAATGAACTATAATTAGTTGATCACTGGTATAGTTTAGCCTAAATTTAAAACACACGTGAAAACGGTACTTTAACAACCTATGTTGATTGTTAGTGTCAAATAACAATTTTCACTCACTAATAACTATTTTGACCCTAAAATTGAAACATTAAAACTAAAATTATTCTATAAAAAGAATAAGAGATAAAATGATCATTTATATAAATATAAGGGACTAATATTATCATTATACCTATTTAAAAATCGTTATTGACCTTACCTTTGCACCCTCTTTATCACTGGCAAATCAAAGGAGATTACAGGTATTACCGCGATCCGAAGTGTTTTTATCATTTTGCTTTTCTGTCAATTGAAGAAAACGAAATCCCAATGGCAACAATGCATTGCCTCAAGAAATGAAACGAATCCAAATAGTTTTTTTGTAAAATCATATCTGCTAAATCACAACACCGTTTCCCGTTTTCATTTCTAGTTTCGATTTCGATTCCAACTCAGAGAATAAAAAACGAAGAATAATGGCCTCGAATCCAGCCCTCGAACCCGAGATCGGACCCGATGGACTCCCTAGGGAATCTCCTGTCATCGCCTACACTGAGAAGGTTACTTCTCTTCCTTCAATCTTCAATCTTCTCTCTTTTCTCTTCTCTTTGTGTTTCGTGATTGCTCTGGTGAAAATGCCATGCCGAATTTTTATGCGTTTCCCCCCTGTGGCTGCAGATAATTGAGGAAGAGCGTGTTCAACTCAAGAAGTATGTTCATATTGTGACTTTTAAATTTCTATTTTCGGATACGTGCATTGTTTTCAGCATCGATTTTCCACTTGTATGAGCTCAATTGTTGTAAGCCTGGCCTGTATGGACGATTCTGTTCAATGCTGGGATTTAATTCAGTAAGACTAAGGAAAGTGTTCTAATCCTGCACTGCACGTGATTAGAGAAAACAAGAGGACTTTGTTAGCATTTAATTTCAGTCTGTAGCATTTACTTGTACAAATTAAGGTTAAAAGAGGATTATACCTTATAAAGTTGTATTTTCTCTTCTTTTTAATATTCTTTCAGTTTGTTTCTCATGATTTCATTTGTTGGGGATTTTATCTAATCTCTTTTCATTATGCTTTCAGATACATAGAAGAAAATTATTCTAAAATCCGTGATGTTGAAAGAGAACTAGCAAATCTTACAATGGAGATGAAACTCACTGCTGGGCCTAAAAAAGCAGGTTGATGTGTTTTTGCCTGTCTGAAATATTTCTTCATTTATGTGTATTTTTCAATAGTGGACCTGTTCTTACATTGCATAATGTGTGGTACATACCTTCAGCCCTTGAACATATGAGAAAGAAAATCGAAATGTCAACTGAGAGAATACGTATTGCTAAGCAGAAGGAAGAACAAGCTAGAATGGTTTGTGCGTTCTTCATCTCCCTCTCTCTCTCTTTCTCTTCCATGTGTAAGTGTGCTTGCATCAGGCCTTATATCTCATCTTTTCTTAATCGAAATAGAGTAGTCATTATTATAGTTCTGCCTGTTTAAGACAGGTTAATATGGTAACATGATGTAGATTGATGTAAGGCCCGTAATTGTAGATTGATGTGGATTTTGGAATTTACTTATCCATGATGGTTGTGGTTGTATTTGAATTAATTAAGGCCTAAATTGATTTTTTTTTTGGATTTGCCGGAGACTTCTGAATTATTTTTCAGTTTCTTTTACAATCCATTTTACTAGCAAGTATATATTGATTTCCGGCTTTAGTTTTATCAGCTCTCTTATATGTATTTTAGACTTGGGAAGCAGCAGTAAAGGCTTTGAATGATGAGGAAGCAATGAAGCAGAAGTTATGTGAGGACTTAAAAAATCTGGTATACTTCTTTGCAGTAGGTGGATAAGCATGTATTAATGCACTGTGCAATAACTTGATGTTCATTTTATAGGTTCAAGAAAGCAGTAACTCCCAGTTTGCTCGACTTGAGGAATTGAAAAGGCGACTTGAAGCTCTGAACCCAAGTAGGGCATCCACTTTGTCTTCTCATGTAAGATTTCTTCTCATGTAGTATCCAATACTTGTATGCTGTCCGATAATAACTTCTTTAAAATAGCCATTGAAATAGGCATGTGACCTGATGAAAAATGGTTGTCTTTTACTTTGTGTTCTGCCTGTGATTTTCTATTGCCGATCATTTTTGCATTCACTGTATTATAATTTATAAACTGGACTGATAAGGCATCATACCGAAATGGAAAAGATCATGTTTGTTCTAATATAATAAACTACTCTGGGGTCTAGATGTATGGAAATTGGTTTCAAGAATGCCTGCAACAATTCCCTGATTTGGTCACCTTGAGCCATTTTGTAATGGCTATTCCTAAGAAACCAAAATAAAGTGACTGATTAAAAAGCTGCATTCTCGGGCATTATTTTGTTATGCTTTTTATATTGTCAGGGTTTTGGATTTTTCTATGCTGCGGTATATGTGTACATCATAGAATGATTTTTGAAAGATTTCCCTTGGATCACATATAGGACATGAAAGCAGTTGGAGTAACACAGGGTGGTGCGAATATAGATTCTTCCTCGGTGCCTCAAACGACAAATCCAGGCTCTACTGTTTCTGAGAATGCAACTAATCTAGGTAATGGTGGAAATGTTCCAGCCGCTAACGTGCAGAATCAACTGCCCCCGAGTGACGGAGAACTAAAAGGAAAGAAGAAAAGTCATTATCTTGGAAGAGGAAAAGGGATTGGGGCCATTCCCAAGGGTCGAGGATCGGCAGCACCAGGGTGGACAGGATCAGGGTTTGACGTGGATGGTAGAACCTAGAAGCCATTTCAGGATCAGGGTTAGGACAAACTATCATGTTGGGGGTATCACCAGTCTTTCTTCCCCATCTCTACCAACATTTTTATCCTTTCAATTGCATATAACTTGTTGATATGAGTAATGCCATTCAGCTTTTCTTTCATATTTTGTTTCCAGAACTGATAAATGTATCCATATCTTTAAAGCAGTGATAATAATAAGTAATAAACTTTCTTTTTGGTACCAAAGGCTGAAACCAGGATTTTTGTGGGACTATTTTTTCTAGAATGGAATTTATTAGTGTGTAATAGATGAAGGGCTTGAGGTTTTCCTGCATGAAGAATTTGCCATGCTTTCACCAGAAGCAAATGGTAAGTGGAATTCCCGTAGTCCTAACACTGACACACACATAATTTATAGCAATTGGATCATGGTATTGATGGCCATCCATCCATCCCTTTGTCGGAAATCTGTGCCCACAAACCCCCTTTCCTTGACTCACTTTGGGACATTAATGCTTTATAGTATAAATTTTAAAATAAAATAGGTTATATGAGTAGTTCTTTTACCCATATATTGTCAGGAAGCAAATTATTCTCAAAATATGTTATGTTTAGTCGTCTATTATGTTAAAAATAATTTATCAGTGTAATCCTTTAATTGATCGGGGTTAAAAATATTCATATTTTTTCATATTATAAAGTTCAAATTTCAATGATTTTTTTGAAAATATAATATCTCTATTTAATAAAAAAATTATTAACATCTTATATATTTTATTTTCAAATGCAAAATCCTACGGATGTGAAATCAGATAATCATTCAGGTTTCAGTCAGATACTGTCAGGTCAGGTAAAATCATATACAAGTCGTATCAGGTGAATTTGATGGTTCAACTCGGATCAAGTCGGGCCCAGGTCAAATCAGTTCGGATCATTTTCAGGTTGATTTTGACATCAGATTCAGTTCGAGTTCAGATCAAATTAATTTTAGTTTGGATCAATGTCAGTATCGGAAGAAAGGGATGAAGAATAATTTATTGTGGTTAATGATTCTTCCTTTTAAAGGTAAATATTTGATTTTTTTTATTATGTTTATTTCATTAAAATTGTTTATTAATGATTTTAATTTTGTTTTTGTAGGGTGCTTTTACGCTTACCGCAAGCACACTTGAATGAGTTTATGAATATTTTTTCTTCATTCTTCCATTTTATGGTAACTTCTTTATAGTTATTATTTCAAAATTGTCATTTATATTTAAAATGATTTATTAATGATTTTTTTTTTTTTACTTTTGTAGGGTGTCTTATAGCAAGCATATTAATGAAATAATTGTACTCTAAAAGTTTGGTAAAGTCGGAAATGTTTGACACTATTGGTCATCGTATTTCCCTTAGTTTTACCATTGCTTGGATTGGTATGAATATTGTTTGGACTGGTCTAAATGCTGACTAGACTTGGTCTGAATGCTGACTGAAATTCGTTTGAATGCTTATTGGACTAGGTCTAAATGATGAATTGATGCTTGTTGGCTGACTGTTTTCTTGTAAATTGTTATTGTTGGTCTCACTGATATGAACTGTTGTAAATTATTATCTAATTAGTTGCCCATAGTTAAATTATGTGGGTAGCATTTTGACTTTTAAAACTGAAAAGTTGCTCATGATTTAATCATGTGGGCAACATTTAGATCTTTTGAAATAAACAAAAGCTCGATAAAAAAATTTCTAGTAGCAAAGTTGGGCTTTCAACTTTGTAAAATTTCTATTATAAGATCCGAGAGCTTAAATTTTAACATAAATTTATTTACTTCATTTAATTATAATTGTGATGTATTAAGTTGTAATAAATTTAATTTGTACATTTATATATTTTGTTAGTTTCAATATGTATAAAGTTATTAAAGTTATAATCTCATATTCTAATATTATCATAACTAAAATCATGTTTAATATATTTAAGTTAAATTATACTTATGTTATTAATTATTACATAAAAATAATTCATGAATATTTAATAAAATTAATATAATAGTTATAATTAGTTTTTTAATATGATCATATTAAATATAGAAGATAAATTCAATAATATAAAGTAAATTTAGTAATATAATGATCATTACTACTAATTTATTTTACATTTATTTTTAATTTTGTCAATTCCAAACCATTTATTTAATAAATTTTATATTTATAGGCTATAATTTATAAACATAAAAGGTAAATACATTAATTTAATTATCATATTTAATCATGCACTCTACATTGTGAATATGTATTATGTCACATTATAATATTAGAAATTCATAATTTTCTAATTTCATCAATTGTAACTTGCATGTAAATACAAGTAAGATAAATATCAGTTCAGCTTAATAACAACTTAGATCCTTTACAGGTTGAGTCAATTAGAGATCAGGTTTATAACAAGTTAGGTTGATAACAAGTCGAGTAATGACAATTATTTACCAGGTTAATCTTGAGTTCGGGTTTATATCTGGTCGGATGTAGGTCGGGTTCGGTTATCACATTATCAGGTTCAGTTTGGGTTCAGGTAATTCTCAGGTAGGGTGTAGGTTGTAAATTTCCAGGTCCAACTCGAGTTCAGGTTAACATTAGTTAGAACTCGAATCAATTTCAAATCACTACTACTTCATGTCACAAACATTTTTGACTCAAATCAATTTTAATTAATTTTACAGGTCGGATCAGCTTTTTACATCCCTAACAAAATCCCCTCCCACTCTACCATTTTCTTATAGGTTGGTAACCAATTAGCCATATTTTGTTATACAAATAATTATTAAATATGATAACACAACAAAGTTTTTAAATAATTTTTTTTTGTAACAAGAGAAGGAACTGGCTTAATAGCAACTATAGCTTCTTCTTGAGGGTTCATATCCCGGCGCAGGAGCTCACGAATTCCATTAGGCGGTTGGCTGGTCACCGAGATTTTTAAGAATGTTGTTCAGCCTAGATGAGCCATTACGTCGGCCACACGGTTAGCTTCACGGAAGGTGTGAGAGATCCAGACATTCCATTGTCATTTAAGAAGATTTCGGATTCAGCGGAGGAGAGCGGGCTAAAAAGCCTGAGTGGTGGAAGAGAAGGTCTTGACAACTTTGTTGCTATCCATCTTGACTTCTATATGTATATAGCCTCAATTTCAGGCTAAGGTCTAACCATCAAAGAGAACCCACAACTCTGCCTGAAGAGTAGGGCAACGACCTATGTTGCGATAATATCCAACTAACCACGTATCGTTGTGGTCGCAAATAGCGTCTCCATCCACTGCCTCCAAGGTTTTTTAATTGACGGCTCTATCCGTGTTGAGCTTAATTACACTAGGTAAAGAGGGAATCCACTTATGATGTCTATGCATGCGGCTAACGTGTTGAGTTAATCGATCAACGAATTGGCCAAGAGGGGGGTGAATTGACAATAAAAATTTTGGTGGAAGCTTTTGCAGAAAATTGAAAATATTTGTACAACGATTTAGAGTGGTTCAAATTTCTCAACCAAAGTCTACATCCACTACCTTAGCTATCCACACTAAGTATTTTCCACAAATTCACTAATTTGTCTTTCTATTGAGGACAAAGAGTAACCTTACAACTCCCTCAAGAATTATACCCCAAATTCTTGAGAATACTCTCTCCCAAAGAGAGGAATACAAATTTCGCAAACTTACAGAAAAACCTCACTAGGCAAGATGTTTGCACAATTCTAGAACAAAGAAAGAACACTAAAAAATAATACAATTGAGTACAAATAGTGTTCTTGAAAGAAAAATTGAAAATTAAATGAAAATTGACTTGAATTGCTCAAACTTGATGTTTAAGGCTTTCTCTTTGTTTCTCTCACAATTGTTGTTGATCAATGGCTCCTCAGCTTGTTTACACTTGTGAACATTGGGGATTATTGGAGAAGTCAATAGAGCCGTTATTGTGTAATTATCATTTAAAAATCAGTTAGAAGTGCGTGTGTATCGGTACACTCTCAAGGTGTATCGGTACACTTAGTGTAAAATTCAAATATTTCGACCGTTATATGACCAAGTGTATCGGTACACACCAAGTGTATCGGTACACTATTTACATTCGATGTTTTAAAAGAGCCAGGAGTGTATCGATGCATGGCTGTGCATCGGTACACAAAATAGCTTCGATGTTCGGTGTTCATCGATACACTAAAGAGTGTATCGGTACATCCCTTTGTAAAAATAATTTTTGGCTCGATCTAGGTTCAAAATACTTTGTAAATCTTTTTTCAAAAATATTTTAAGACTCATACACAATTTTAAACTTAAGTAAGGATTGAAATTGACCTTTGAAAAACTTGGAGTAATATTTTTGATATTCGAATAGTTTAATCGAATATACTTTAAAAATGATTATAAAATCTTAAAATTCAATATTACTTAATTTTTTATATCGAAATATCAAAATGTTTTCAACAATCTCCCCCTTTTTGATATAACAAAACATTTAAGTAATTTTAAGATTTTCTCTCAAAAATCATTTTTGAAAAACAATTTTGAGAATTACTCAATTACTCCCCCTTACCCCCTTACTTTATTCTTCCTTTTTTTTAAATCAAAAAGACTCAATAAAACGTTTTTAAACAAGGTTTTGAAAATTTAGACAATTGATATTTAGATAAAGCTTAAGCTTCTAAAATCACAATCAAGAGAAGATTAGCCATTAATTTCATAAATCAATATTCATAAATAATGTGCAATGGTAATTGGTCATATATCAACTAATATGTAAATGATGCAAAAACTAATAAAACATTAAATTCAAATTAAAAATTCAACCAAACCAAATATATAAATGTAAGCATTCAAGTTCAAACATCAATATCATCCAAAACATAACAATCCAAAAACATCCAAAATGTTAAAACAATAAGTTCTATCGCAACCTAAGAAAACAAAGCAAGAAAAAGGTTTAATCGTCCATCGGTGGAGCAGGAGGTGATAAATGTGCCCATATATTGGCCACATCACCTGTAAGTGCGTCGACCCTCTCATCCATAGCATCGAAACGATGATTCATCGGTTTGTTGTTAGCAGTTAGACGAGACTCGATGGATGTGAACCTCAAGTCAAGATTCTCCATAAACGATCGGAAGTATGGAGGCATTTGACTATCTTGTTGTGCCGGCTCGTCTTCGGGTACGTGATCATC